CTCGCCGACAACCTGCACGGGCAGACGACTGAGGAATTCCGCAAGTATCTCCACAAGGAGTGCAACACGCTTCTTTGGCACCTGCCGGCAGGCTGTACGGACGAGGTCCAGCCGATCGACGCCGGCTATGGACGGCGGCTGAAGGTGGCTGTGGGGGTGCAGCTGGACAAGTGGCTGGAGAGCGGAGACAACCTGCAAAAGTGGGAGGCCAAAGCACTGACGTGTTCCGAACGTCGCGTGTTGCTCACCAATTGGGTGGCACAGGCGACCGAGGAGATCGATAAAGATGAGCAATATCGGTTTAGTCTCTTCGAGAAAACCGGATGTGGAATGACGGCGGATGGCTCTGGGGACGACAAAATCAACCTCGAGGGCCTTTCCACATATTCCTAATGGATGTGGAGGGTGGCGCTGGGGAAAGGAGGATGANTGGGTGGCACAGGCGACCGAGGAGATCGATAAAGATGAGCAATATCGGTTTAGTCTCTTCGAGAAAACCGGATGTGGAATGACGGCGGATGGCTCTGGGGACGACAAAATCAACCTCGAGGGCCTTTCCACATATTCCTAATGGATGTGGAGGGTGGCGCTGGGGAAAGGAGGATGAGGACACCGGCAAGGTTGACGTGGACCAGCTGTCGGAAGACGCCTCTTCCAGCGATGATGAATGCGACGGTAAGTGATATTGTACTTCGCGTTCATTCGGAGCACAGAAGAATTACCCTTGCGGAAGAAAGCTCCTCTTGTTGACACATTAATGAGTGTTGGAATATTGTCCCCGCTTCGGGAATCGCCACAACAATAGACGATGCCTCCGCTGTGCCTTGTCAGGAGACGATGACAACGATGAAGACCCGCTGACCCAGCTCGACGACGATGACGAATTGTCGCCTGAGGAGAAACGCTGAAGATGGACATCCCGGACGGGTTTCGACTCCAGGCGTCTCCACCAGCGGCCCTCGATCAGTCGATAGTGAAGCGTGGGGTTCTCGTGAAACTCGGGTTGGGTTGGTTCGGAGGGGTAATTAGTCGCAGATCTCACCCGGCTTCGCGGCAGGAGTACGACTACCGCGTCACCCTGCACTGTGACGAAAGCACGCGTAGCATGAAGATGCCGTTGGGGTCGTACAGCACGGATGAAGACGCCGCAATTGGGGCGTGGGTTCTCCTAGAGGTAGACCCAAAGGAATGGAGCGGGAGGCGCAAAAGGGTGACAACCCCCAATGTTCGCCTCACGGAGCTTGCAACATAATGACGGGGTAGTTTTCGTTGTTGGCACGTCAGCGTGCGGGTGAGGCATCATGCGGTGTTTATGCATTTGTTTTGTTTCAGTCCTCATTCATGAGGGGGGTACAGGACCTTGTAGCGATAGCGAGACGTTGCCGCTGGATACATTTCGCTTCTAGGGAGTGGCCTCACGTGCAGCTGTCGGTAGTGAGAATCGGGGTTGAGTACGGGGGTCGAGGAAAGCAGTGCAAATCATTTGCATATTTGGAACGTTGTGTAGTGTTCTATGCAAGCAGAGAAAAAAGAAATTGCCGATTTAAGAAATTCAGCGGGATTTGGCTGCACGAAACAATAAGAAACTTGAAATACGAAACTGAACGACATACGCTGAGTTTATAGCCCACAATGAGAATTCGAGGCTGGACCTGAAATAAGCGTTTCTTAACTGCGGGCGCCAACTGTA